GGGGTTTGCAAGATGTGGAAGCTGATGGTCTCGTGATGGTTGCCGGACAGCAGCATGTGTACCGGAAAGGTTTGATGCGTCACTGTGCCCAGAAGATGACCGTCCAGGGCGCTGGCTGGAACAGCCTGGGGAAGAGGTATCCGGTCGATCCCCAACTGTGTACAGAGGTCCTCGTCCATAATAGATTCGTCTGCTCCATAATCCAGGAAGGTGGAAATAGTATGGGAGCCCCCGTTTAACAGTAGTTGGGCGAGGAAAAGTGGTCGTTGACAGGCGGAGGATCGGGAAACTGCTCGGCTCACCAGTACTTCCTTCCTTACTGGCGAGCCCGGGCTTTTAACGGGCAATTGTGAGCAAACATGACCCGCCTGGCTTGACTGTTCCCGGCGCCTTGTCAGCCGCCTGACCTGGATGCGGCGATCCACTCTGGAGGTTGCCTCGATAAGTCCGTCCAGGGATGTGGGTAGCTCGAACGCGATGAGTTCATCTTTGACGTAATCCGCTAACCCGAGTAGATACGAGTCACACTGGGCGTCCATGTTCCAAGAGCTTAATTGTGCCTGAGTCTGGAAATCAATGGCGTAGTCCGTGACAGATCGGTGGCCCTGCTGGAGCCCCATTAGCCCTCCGGTGACGTCCGGTCCTCTGGACACCAGTCCGAAAACCTTGCGTAATTCGGCGGAGGACTGGAAGGAAGCACAGGTAGGAGTCCGACGATCCCATTCCGCTGTTCCCCACAGGCGAGCTCTCCCAGTCAGGTGGTTGATGGTAAACGCCACCCTGGCGTCCTCAGACGCAAAGGTGCGGGGCTGCAACGCAAACAGGATGGAACAGTTCGTCAGGAATGCGTTGCAACCCTCAGGATCCCCAGCATAACGTTCGGGCTCCCCCACCCGGGGCTCTGAGACCGCCGTCGAAACTGCTGGATCCATTCCCGAGTGAACCGGAGCAAGTGGCGGCGACGCCGTCGCGTTGGTCGGAGCTGCGACTGACGCGAGTTGTCGTACCTGGTCAATCAACGTGATGAGAATCTGGTTCTGATTCGCCTGGGTGTGGTGAACCTCGGCGGTGTTAGTGACCATCATGGTCTCGGTTCGCTGCATCGTCTCCTCGATCGCCTCGAGCCGGGTCCATGCTGTGGTGCCGTCTGCTGGATCCATGATGTGGCCAGATCGTACTGTAATGGGTGTAGTTAGGACCCAGGAGCAGTACGACAACACCGGGACTGGTATGATTTAAGTTCTTTATTTTCAACACACGACAGGCAGAATATTCTCCGGAAGAATCAGCGACAGGATTCTTGTGGTCAAGGACAGAAAGGCTGAGTAAGTTACCAGGGCAGAGGCAAGGCAGTCCGGAACAGGCAGGGTCGGCAACAGGGAATCAGTCCATGGGTGAATGCGGGAAAGTTTAGCATGAATGCGGAGAACGATCTGGCAGTGAGTGTGTGTGAGGCAGGGGTTTAAATAGTGAAGAGGCAGAGTGAGCAGGTGAGAGTGATGAGCTGATCAGGTGAGTGTGACTGGCAGGTGCACTGAATGAACTGATTAGGTGAGTGAAAAGTGGAAAAAGCTAGACAGAAGTGACAGAGCTGTGACAGTAATACCTGACCGTAAATAAACATGTTTTAATATTTTGTCAACTAAAATGTGCGTCACATCCTATTACACCTGTCAAGCGCCTTTCCCTGCAGGTGGCTAATCATGATCTGCAGACCCCCGCCCTCAGTAAACTATCAAGGGATGAATCCAAAAAAAGAAAAGTCTCGGAGGAAAATAGAGTTTAATTCAGCGTGGACGTATTCATTTGCTTTCACTGCCAACGATGCTGACTGACCTGTATGCTTGACATATGCAAACAATGTAATGCTGAATGTCACTTCCAGAACAAACACACAGCATTTGCTGAAAAGTATCACGCTGGAGATGATTTCTCAACTGCTGCAGCATACTCTCCTCTTCATAAGAGTTTGATATTGTTCGAACAGGTAAAATAGCAATACAATGTTAAGAATTGTCTTTATTATTGTTCTATAATTTCATAAATACAAGAAACTACAGTTTTTGTATATATAATATAACTATATACAAAACTTTATAAGTTATGATATCAAATAGCTTTTGCGGCTCCAGACGAATTTTATTTGGTGGAAAATAGAGCAAAATGGCTCTTTGGATAGAAAAGGTTGCCGACCCCTGGCCTAAGGCAACACGACAAATATGACAGGAAATATTTTCAGGCATCATAAACAAAGAGATTTGACTAGAAAAAGAACAGGATGTGATGGCTTTTCGCAGGTGAGGAAACTCAAGCTGAAAAGTACCCTTCTGCCATCTAGAAGACCTTTTTGTTGAATTGAACAGTTTGTTCCAAATTGACTGGTGAAACAAGTTATTGTTATTACATTGTTAATACCACCGGGCATTTCACACTAGGTATATTCCCCCCTAAAAATGTTGCCCATGTGTCAAGTGTGGTATAACTGCCATGTCATGACAGAATTTTAATTTAAATTTATTTTTGTATTGCCCAAAATCACAAATTTGCCTAAGAGGGCTTTACAATCTGTACACATATGTCATCCTGTGTCCCGGAACCCTCACATCAGAACAGGAAAAACTCAAAAAGAGGAAGAGACCTTAGGGAGAGCAACAGAGGAGGGATCCCTCTCCAAGGATGGACAGAAGTGTGATAGATGTCATGTGTACAGAATGAACATAACAGAGTTAGAAAATGAGAGAGTGACAGAAAATGACAGCTGTGCAGTACTATGGCCTCACATGGCTAAATCAGAATCATCTACCTGATGTACATTTTCACTTGCGTACTTCAACGACAATCATAAACTGTCTGGGAAAGTGGTCCATGAGTTGCCACTCCAAAACAGAGCCATTCTCATGAGACAAGTTAGAGGGCTGTTTGGAGCTCTAATATCAGCCATATTATAGTCTGGCTCCTTGGGTCAGCCATAACAGACTGAAGGACACACATCCAAGAGTAACAAGCAGCAATGATAAAAGATTCAGCACTGATTCCAAAGCCTGGGGACAGACACAACTCCCCACAGCACACTGACAAACAGAGACATGGCACGAAGTGTGGTTATGGTTATGATTAAAGGAACAAGTTCACAATTTCACACCATAGTGCATGGAGCAGTCCAGGGTTTTCTCTGAAATAAGTATTGTTTACACTTTGGACAAACATGAGTTTATACTCATTGACCTTCATGACATATGCAGGTTTTTCAACAAGCCTTAGTTTATACCTACTCAACAAAATGGGTAATTTGTCAGTTCCTTCCAATAACTTATATCATTTTTCCAAAAACAACCCACATGACTGATATGTTTTCTGCACCTATCAATTATATGGTTTGTGATCTGGAAAAGTTTGCGAAACTAAAACACAGTTTGATGGCCTTCATGTTGAAATGAAATGGGGTGCTCTGGCCCAGTGGATGGAGCTGGTCGTCCTTTAACCAGAAGGTTCGTGGTTAAGTCTCCGGTTAATACTATCTGCACGTCAAAGTAGCCTTGAGTCATTTTCATGTGAATAAATGCACATAGACATGACTGAGTGCTACATACAGGACTTATACAATTGATGGACATACAAACCTCTACTGTTTTTGGATAAGTGATACCCAGTTGTTTGGGTTGAATCCACCTAGGCCACTAACGTTTATAGTTTCTCAACTGTGAAGACACAGATTGTGTGCCTCTGTAGACCACCGCTGATCTAAAAGGGACTAAGCTCATTAACTCAGCCGCCCTGAAAAACGTTCCCCTCTCTGTGCTGTTAAGTTCCCCCAGTGTGAAACCTGACATGTTGATCTACACCACCTGACAGAGCAAGACGGCAAACCCATTCATCTTCCCCCTTCTTCCTTGTTTGATGCTACAGCCCAGGGACCACAAAGCATACAGGCCAGTGGATTGTGGCTGTCCACACACCACCAACTCACAACTACAAGGTACTGAGGTACACTCCACACATAATACCTACCACAACGTGGTCAGAGGTCCTCTTGGAAACATGCTAATTTCTTGGCAATTTCTGCTTTTTGGACATTGATGCCACCTGGCAACTTTTCAGTCTCTGCCAATTTAGGTTGAATTCAGATTGAAGTTCTGAAGTGGGCAGTCCAGTGGGGAATCTGCAGCATTATATATACACTGCAAAAATGAAAACATTAACAGGGGAAGGAGAAAAATACGCTTTGTACATTATTCATATCTGTCCTACAGGAGGACAGGCAGTCAGAGCTAATGAGAGGCCGGAGCTTTAAAGTCATGGAGCACTCAGTGAGGTGAATGGCATTAACTAAGTACCACAATTAGACCTGTTTTGCCATGTGTGAATGCCTTCTAATTTTAGCCAGTGTTATGAGCCCTGTTTTATCCAAGTTTTTATTAGGATTTGAATATAATTAAGTTTCCTCCACACCCTTATCTAGAAGAAGGTCAGGCTCAACTACATAGCAGTCCCCAAGGAGCTGGTAGGTCGATGCAGAATACAGAGGACATTAATAATCCATGAGCATGTATGTAAGAGTGCAAGATATACTTGTTGTGAAGTGGAGTGGAATGGATGCATTGCCTTTCCCGCCACTCAAAGCAAGTGATGTGTGAAGTATTTTGGTGAAAGGCAGCTTTGCTCTGCCAGCCAGACTTGACCCCTTTCCCTGGCACTGCCGGTGCCCGCCGTCCTGCCCTATGCCATGCTGATATGCTATCTGCCCAAACAGATGCCTACTTTGGCCTCGCAGCGCCACTCTCCGGTCTACCACTTTACCAGTAGCTACCTGCTGATGTTTTGTCCGCCCTAGCGCTCTGTATCACTCTTTGAGGAAGCACAGCGGAGAGATAAGCGAGACCTACATTGACCTCGCTGTTAAAGGGAAGCTGCTTGCCGGTGAAAGGTCTGCGTGAGTCTGGGACAAACATGACATTAAAGACATCGAGCAAGAGCAAACATGGTGTAAATGTTTAGCCTACCTCCACAGTGAGCTCTCCAGCACCTTGGTGGAGTCAGCGTGGTAGTACTTGGTCAGGATCAGGATGACCTGTAACACAAGGTGGAGGAGAGACATACATGTAAGCTACTACTGAAGAAAATGACTGGTTAGTGCCGTGGTTCTTAGTAAGAAGCGGGTCCTCCAAGGAGGGCGTAGTGAAAATAAAGTTGAATGATATTGGTTTGTGTGGGAACAATAAACAAACATGAGTGCCCTGATGCTAGCATAGCTATATTGCTAACCTGAAGCTAAACCATTCACCTTGACTTGTTTTCCTACTACTTTCCTTAATATTGTTAAAGACTGATAAAACATAAATCCATCTCCGCAAGGATGGGCATGACAGAAACAGTTTGAGAGCGACTGGGTTAGGGAATGAAATCAGGGCTTATGATTTATAAATCAAAGCAGACACCAACAACCACTAAAGCAATGTTGATAGCACATGAAAAAGTCAAGTATTTTTATTCATCTAGATATGTTTCTATTGTAACTTATATACATACAACTGCTCAATCAAATTTGTATTATTTATTTCAAAAGCTTTGTGTTTTAGTTTCCCTGAATATATAAAAATATGCGTTTCTCCATGTATGAACTTATCTGACTGTCTGAATACATTTTCAAACATTTTTAAAGCTTTTAATTTAAAGCATTCACAATTGCCATTGATCTCCAATGATAGCTGACAGTAGATTGATCCATTTTTTGTGTGTATAGAATGGAGAAAAAAATGTAATACAGCATAAATACTGCAGTACTACTGCAAATAAATAAATATTTGAATACTTTAATCAGTGAGGTTTCCCTCACCATTGTGTTACCTTCTTTGGCAATAGATAGTGACTTAAACAAATGAAAATCTTGATGTTTGCCACTTTAAGATTCTATAACATTTCTCATGTTTATTTTAATTTTAAAGGAACAAACAGATTTAGGCAGCAAGACTTTAAGGAAGGCTTTTAATCAGTAGTTGTATTTTATAGTGCCATTGGTCTGTCAATAGATCTGCATACGTGTTAATCGAATCTTTCTTCTGCATTTATATTTCAAGCCAAGGCAGCCGTGATTGGAGAGAGCGCTGACACAGGGCTATCCCCCATTGTTACTCCTAGTCTCCTTTGTGCAAGCAAGATTATATATTTAGTTTAAACACATCTTTCTTGGGCGTATTTGATTATACAATCTAAAATTTATAGTATGAGTTTCTTTTTCGGGCTTTGCGTCACAAAAAAAAAGAAATAAATAACGATGCATTATTCATGTATGGTCCAGGGCACACAACCCATGCCTGTAAACTGGATCAGAGGCTCTTGTCTTTCATACTTCTGAGGAGCACTCCTTTTCTTGACAGCCAGGGCTGCTGGGATTTGTGTTGCCATGGCAAGATTGCCAGTGGGTCATGCAGTGTGTGTGGGGTGGTGATTGACAGGCTTGCTTGCAGTCCAGGTTGTGAAAAGAGAGAAAAACCGAGGTAGCAGGCCAGGTTGAAGGTGGCAGCTCCCACGGAGTCAAGCTGCAAACTCTGTGCAGTAGGTTCACTCCAGATACATCTTAATGTGGAAGTAAAGCACAGCCTGATAGTACATTATTATGACTCTTTTACGCTGCATCTTTCCTTGAATTTTTGGTGACTTGCAGAACAAGTGCATGAACATTTTAGTCTTTGTGGCCTCTGAGAAAATGAAAGACAGATATTCAAGAGCTAAATATTTGCTTGCTTTCATTGTCAGATAGTATAGAAGATTTGCTGTCTGAATTAGTAAGATATCTGGCTGCACCTCCAAACATTTTCTGAAATATGTTTTCATCCTGTCACATAAACAAAGTCCTGTCACGATATATAGCCTGATAAAATCTAGCATATAGTAGTGTCCAAGGCTTTCACATTGCACTCTTGTGTTAGGAGAGACCAAACAGCCTGTAGGATCCAGCATCAGTTAGTATTCAAAAATAAAACCTCAAGACCTTCCACTTGGCACTTGGCTCAAAGCAACTCAAACTCAGAAGTTCCAACCCTGGTGGAACTTGGCTTCCAATGATTTATATAGAGTCCAAAAAAACGGAACAGAGAACATTTTCTGAAGCAGCAGCCTGCTCGCCAGGGCTGATAACAACCTTTGTAACAGCTCTAACAGATGCAGTGACAGCAAACAACCAGATGTTTCTCTGCCTCTACCTGTCATAAAACTCTCTCTTTGCTGATGAGGAATTAGACAGTATCCAGATCTGAACGAGCCACTGTTTGAGTGTTCTACAAGTGGCCAAGTGGTCATTGGCCTGCTATGACTAAACTGGTATGTTTGGCTGTCCGCCTCTGCACAGCTGTCCTTCTCCTAATGAGATACTGGTGCAAAGCTTGACCCTATACCGTACAGTAACTGGTCCCTTGATTTAAGGATTAGATCCACCCTGCTGCACACTTTTCTTTAGCGACTGTGGCTCAGTGGAAAACAGGGTCGTCCTTGGGCAAGACACTTGCCAAAATTGCCTACGGTGTGTGTATGTGTGTAAATGTGCTGATGAGCAGGTGGCACCTTGAATGGTAGCTCATATCATCAGTGTATGAATGGGTGAATGATGATATGTCGTGTTAAACAGCTTTGAATGGTCGGAAAGACTAGAAAAGCAAGTACAGAACATTACGATTTGACCATTTAAAGACCCAAAGAAGGGAAACCCAGGGAGGGTCAGGATCCCCATCAGACCAGACACCTCCCATGGCCACACAGCTACAGGCACTTCAGTTAAGTACCTCCTGCGAGCTGACACACCAGACCCAGATCCCACTAATGAGATCTGGGCAGTATTTGAACCCTGGTCCTCCAGATCTGTGTTGTCAGTCCGTACAGTCTTTATGCCAGAACAGTCGTCATACAGGCTTCATTCCCGAACCAGCTTCAACCCGGTACCGTCTTCTGCTAATCTGCCTGCCCTCCAGTGTCGATCCACGGGAATCACACCGTCGATCTGCCTGCAACCCTGTGTCGGACCAAGGGATCCACACAGTAATCCTGCCTGTCTTCCAGTATCGGTCCACGGAGAACCACACCTCTGATCCTGCATGCTCTACCTTATGAAATAAAGTATTTCCTTCCTCAATTGCTTCAACTATCTCTTGTTATATGGAAAATACAAAAATCCCCATAAAATCCCTGTATTTTCTCTTCAGTAAAAGGGTTTCAAATGTTTGATAACTCAAAAATAACTTACAAAAATTCATCCAATCAAATGAGACTTTGAGCGAATCCTAGCCACACCAGTCATATAAAATTGCACTTCCCCATTTATGGATTGTACTAGGTAACCAAGCAAGAGAGACAGGAAGAGATCTCTGCGGGCAAAAACTTGTTTTTATCGCCAAAACAATGTGGCTAAGGTTTGATTAATCCAAGGGAAATGTTGCAGATTTTCAAGTATATCCTGGAGCTCCCACTCACCTGTAGGCTAAACTCCTCCGGTAGTTTTGCGTCATCTGGCAGATGTTCATCTGCATGTACCCGACAGAGCCAGGTGAAAGTTTCCCGTTCTTCTCTCCCTCGCCTTCCTCCTAACCCATTAACAGGTGAGGGAGGTGTGTGTGGTGCCAACAGTACTCTGTAGCTCTGTGGCACGCTAAAATCAATGCTAATTATAGATCCAACAGATACGGAGCAGCATCAGCATTTATTTTTACTTGAGTTTGTAGCCACCGAAAAAAATATCTAAATTCACCAGCTGTTTGGTGCTGTACAGGTGCACAGAAGGTTTAAGCAAACTTTCTTGCTAAAAACAGCTGCTAGCTACTGCTGTTCATTAATATTGTAGGCCAAAAAATCTTAACAATAAGCCAAAGAAGCTAGAAGCCTTTGTAGAGTGTAACTGCAGAATTAGGTGATGCATCAACTGTTTATACACTAATATTGATTAGTGCAGCTTAAGAGCATATTGTGATTAGACCCGGAACTAACAATTATTTTAATTATTGATTACTCTGCCTTTTATTTTCTTGATTAAACAAATGGTAAAGATGAATGTAAATATTTTGGCCATTATCATACTGTTCTGTGTAGATAACACTTTGTTTATGTGTGTGATTTTATATTGAAAGATGAACTACTGGACATATCTGGTTTGTGAAATGGGAGAAAGACACCTGTGTCCTCCCCCACATTCCTCTTAGGTCTGAATGTTGAGTGTGGGGCATCTGGTGGAAGATAATGAACGTAGTCGTAATAAATGTCCTAAATTTGTATTTCTTTAACGGAGAATGAAAGTGAAACAGAGCTGCCAGGGCCCAGTGAAGCACATGCAATATTGTGTTTATTCTGTGTTTATATATATATAGTTCATATTTGGGGGGTTTAAATTAATTTTAAGCTTGATATGCCTAATGTGAAGACAGAGTTATTACAAAATGTAATTTTAGACAGGTATTATGCATTTATTTACAATTTATTTTCATGCATTATACTACTTCTGTGAACCTCAGACTCTGGTAAACCCATTTCAAGCACCAAAACAATTCGTACACATGGGAGATTTAAAGAATTTTCATCTTTTAGGCCAAATTCTCTCTCCACAGTGCTCGAGGACAAATGGGCGCCTCAGTGCAGAGAGTGCTGAGATCCATTTTGCCGTTCCAGTGCTGGGTTAGAAAAGCAGCTCCACGTAAAAATGTCATCCTCTACAGCCTCTAACAGCTTGCATCCTTCTTCTGACACAAAATACATATAGCCTGCTGGTTACAAGTAAACCCTGAATACAATATTAATCTATAATTATAGCTCTCTAAATGTGTAACACATCCTCTGTCTTGTGCATGAAAAACAGAAGGGTAAAGAAACTGTGCTCTGAAAGTCATCAGCCCCTTGAGAATGAAGTATTCATCGCGCATCCAAATGATGTCAATAAAATATTCTGCCTCTCTATCCCCATGTAGAGTCTTCAAGGCCTAAGTTCTGCTCAATTGTAAAATCATTTTTCTTTGTGGATAAAGTGGACAGGGCAAGGATGTATTCGGCCATAAATCACTACTGGCAGGAGGCAGACAGAGCGTTTATTTGGCA